AAAAGTGGGGGGAAAGGGAAAAAAAAAAAAAAAAAAAAAAAAAATAAAAAAAAAAAAAAAAAAAAAAAAAAAAAAATAAAAAAAAAAAAAAAATTCCATGTTTTCCACCATTCCAACTCAAAAAACCATAGTATATCTATTAAAAACACAGTAAATTTAAACAAAGGAATCCATCTTAATTGAACAAAACAACCCTACTCTAAACCATCACCCTGGGGTGCCAAGATATCTCTTCTAAGTTGTGCAACAATATTTGGTCATGTGACCTCTTTGTTCCATATTGTGTGTGTGTATGTGTATGTATGTAAACTACTTGTACCTGATGATGACAAAACCTTGTTGAAACGTTGTACCTTTGCTGTTATGTTAAACTCACATTAAAGTTTTTCTTCATTACCCATTCAAGCCGTCTCCAAGCATTATTAATTTCATTCACTGATGAATTAGTTCAGAATTGGTATTAGTTTTTTACTTCCAGTGTTTGATTCTCGCATATTGTTCGTTGGAAATGCACATTGGGGTAAAATTCTTTTCTTCAGCAATTAATTCATGTTTCTGATCTTGATATTTGAAGAATTACCTATACTAGGCTTCAGCTGCTCATTTGTACACTGCTGTAAACAACATGTAGTTGATCCCACATAATCTCATCTACATTGACAACAAATGTATCGAGAAAAATAAAAAAATTTAGGGGCATTGAAGTTTAAATAATTAACTGTAATCAAGATTAAATATAATAATTGAAATAAATGTTTCCAATTATTACTGTTTTGTCTATTCCAACTGTCTATGTAACTGAAATATTGATGTTATGATTTCTCATTTTTGATTAAGTTTGTTCAGCTTAACTGATTAGTATCGCCATTTGTATTTTTAATCATTCTAACTATCCAGATCTCGTAATTTAAAGTGCAATTTTACACTTAACACGTTCGCTGCCCTGTGCTCCACTGTGTCACATATTACAAGAGGCTTCAATGAGCTGATTAAACATAGTATAGTTACCCACATAAATATCAGACACGTGGGTTAAGTAAAAAGAAAGAAAAGTGTGGTTGGCACTAGGGTAGAAATTATAAATACAACTGGTGGCAGCAGACTTGTTAATTACCTCCACATTTATTTTGTTGTAAAATCACAAGTTCTGTATAATTGTTTTTTTGGTTTTTTAATTAATGTAGAAGATCCTTTAGCTTTCCTGAGGTCACAACCTCAGTTTCAACAGATGCGACAAGTTATCCAACAAAATCCCCAGCTGTTGAATGCTGTCCTTCAACAGATCGGTCAAAGTAATCCCCAACTTCTTCAGGTGATATCGCAAAACCAGGAAGCCTTTGTCAGAATGTTAAATGAGCCTGGAGCAAATGATGGAGATAGTGGAAATACCGGCAGTCAAGCTGTTGGCCGTAGTGGTGGAAGTGGAATCCCCTCCGTTTTGGAAGGTGGAGTAACTGCCCAAGTAACTTCCCAAGATAAAGAAGCCATCGAAAGGGTAAGAACATTTAGTAATAATAACAGAATTGTGACATACTTAACCAAATTGATTATTGTGTACTTCCTTTTTAACTTTTAACTATTAAGTGATAGTTCAGCAGTCTTACAAGATAAAATGTATGCAAAAAATTTTTTTAAGAGCATTCTTTATACTTACAACTACACAGTATCCTCCCGAGTAATGTCTAGTAGATAATACATTAATATGTTGCCATGGCCACTTTAAAGTTTGGCTCTTAAGTTTTAGGGGAAAAGGTGCTAGATTAAAGACCTCTAATGTCTGTAGTTTTGTTTTACGTTTAATATTTGCTTCTTTTCCCACAGCTAAAAGCCCTAGGATTCCCAGAGTACCTGGTCATTCAAGCCTACTTTGCATGTGACAAAAATGAAAATCTAGCAGCAAATTTTCTGTTGTCTCAAAACTTTGATGATTGACAGAAAACGTTTTGTGGTGTCATCTATTACAGAAAACTTGAGATTGCAGCATTGTTACGGCTACCTTAGGAAAAGAACTAAAAAGAAAATGCATGCATTCTCATCATACTATTCATTTAAAGACAAAAAATAAAATAAACTACTGCTGTAGTGGGCAATAGAAAAACTTGTATTTGTTTTAATGTTCTTAAGTTTTTCTTCTAAAGCTGTATACTTGCTGAATTAATAAACCTTCCCTTAAAGCAAAAAAAAATAATAATGCTTGCTTTTAACCTAGCTCAGAAAAATAAACTTTAGAAGTTTCGTATTTAAACATCCATCATTTTCAAATTAAGTTAAAGTGAAAAAATTATCAATATTTTTTTGTTAATATTATAAATCCTAGTAAACCACAGATATATATATATATATTTTTTTTTTCTATAAAGCTCTCTAGTAGCTACTGCTCCTCAGTCAGAAATGGAATGTTTAAAATTTCAGAGCCTGTACTTAATTTCCTGGAGTGTGTACCGTGCCTTTGGTTTTTCATTTAAATGAATCTCTGTAAAAAAAAAAAATTAAATAAACATAAGTTAAAAACAATTTGAAGTTGTCAATTTTTTCCAACTCTACCTTCTGCATTGAATAAATGAACTAGTGCAAAAGTGAGAAGTGAATTTTACTATTCCACATTTTAGTACAGTTAAGTCATTAGTTTTGTAAACTAGGAAATATAACTTGTCACAAAATATACTTAATTACCTACATTTTAGTATGATATGATTAAATAATTTGTATCCAAGACATGTTTTCTTAAGTTATTGTACTTTATATAAAAAAAAAATTCTTCAGTGAAGTTCACAATACTTATTCTTACTGTTTTACATCATTTTCTGGCATTTGGCATTTTCAAACAGCCACATTAGATATGCTGACTAGAAAGATGGCATCCAATCAGCAACAGCTGTCACCTCTGCAGCTTCTCTTAACTGTAGAATTGGCTTTTTTTTTATGATTTGCCCACAGCATGTTCAGTGTCATATTATCAGGTTAAATCTTGGACTGATACACAGCCCTGCCCATCCTTTTCTGATATATTCTTATATTTAAACTTCTGTTTAAAGTAACTTCAAAGATAGGATTTATGGATATTGGTTGACTTGCATATTCACTCTTAAGAAGAATAAATTTTGTATTTTTTTTAAACTTAAGAGAAATGTATCATCTGTTTGAGAGCAATTAATTGCAAAATCTGATATTACTTAGCAAGTTGGAAATCCATCAAGTTTAAGTAAGATATTGTACAGTGTTATTTATTTCTATTACAACAACCTTCTAAGACTAGACAAGATAGTTTAGATTTTCTCTTTTGCAAAATATTTACACTAAAGATTATTTTACGCCCTAGTAATGAAATCATCAGTTCACAGTTTCTGGTATTATTGGTTTGGTAGAAACTGTGCTGTAGTTTTTTTTCTACAATACATTCACATTTTAAGTGACTCAAAGGTATCATTTAACTTCTTTATTTAACAACATTGGGTAATATCTATGAAACAGATAGTTTAATCCAGATTATTCTTCATAATTTGTAACATATACTGCTGTCAAAGTGCACATAATGTACACAGAATATTTCAAGAATATCTGGTAACATTTAACTTTATTCTACAAAAAGGAAAAAAAAAAAATCCAAGTACACTGGTTAACTTGGAAGTGTTATGTTCCCTGTTCAAATTCTATCTGTCGAAATCCCTTTTTAATCTGTTCTTGCATCTCTAGAGCTTTGTCCTTGTATTTCTGAGCTAAAGATGTATCTTTTTTGACACCATCACCTTTACGATACATCTGACTTAAATTTGCACAAGCATGAATATTGTCCAGCTCACAAGCTTTCTGACTGTATTCAAAAGCCTTTTCCATGTTCTTTGGAACATCTGGTGCACCAGTAATAAAAATTCCACTAGCAAAATAGCAGCTTGTACCATTCTTTCCTTGACAGCCTTTATCCAGAAATTCTAAACCCTTCACATAGTCTTTCTTCCAAGGTTTTTTTTCCTCCTTTTTTGTGGAGGTAAGCATTAATCCAGCATGCAGGCAAGATTCCGGGGAAGCATTCTCACAGCCTATACTATAGTATTCAAAAGCCCTGTCAAGGTCTGCTTTGCAACCTGTTAAAAAAAAAAGGTAAGAAAATCATTTTATTTTAGTTTGTGTAACCCTATTTAAGACTTTCAGGTACATATGAAATATTTTACTGAATGTCATATATCCAACCCTTTCCAAAGTCCTTAGAAATTAGTTCAACTTTTTATTGAGCATTTATTTAAATCTACACAACTAAACAATAAGAAAAGTTATCCATTAAGTTTCAAAGAATTAAAGATTATCAAGCATTAAAAATGCTTAGGAACTAATTGTAATCTCAGAGAAATAAATCTTAATACTTTGTAAATAAAGTATTAAATCAAATATATTTAGGGTATAAGTGCTTATTAAAGTAAAATGTAAATATTTCTCAGATGTCTTAAGGGGACTTGAAATTCAAGAATGTACCTATGGTTTTGTTGTTTTTGTCAGATTTTTTTAAAACAAGTTTCCAATATTATGTTGAAAGCTACATTAAACATGAATATTTTCAAAAAGAGTTTAGTGATTATGGTAGAACATGTGGTAGTCTTGGAATTAATGGTAAAAAGAACACGAGTTGATATATCTATCAAATGGGGGTGATAAGCGAGTCTTCATAAAGATGTTAACTACTCAAAGGCTGTTTTAAAACCCCTATTTTATGTTGTGATAGGTAAATGTAGTACACACAAACAACTGGTCATTTTTAATTCTGCTAGAGAACAAGTTTTACAACCATGTATGTAACAAAAATATCTTAATGTTTAATGAATTAAAACATTTTAAATGTTCAATTTGTAATAGCATAAGAAAACCTTAATTTCTGATTAAACACTAGGTATAGAAAAGTGGATGTACATTAAAGTAATGGAAGCTGAATACTGCAGTCTTAAATTAATTACTAAAAATATGATCAAGGCAAAATGTGTAATGTATATGTCATATCACCACTCTCTAGACTTGTAAACTACCGTATTTTTCGGAATATAAGACGCACCCTTATTTTGAAGACAAAGTTTTGGGGGAATAAAAGCTACAGTTGCATTTGAAAGATTTTTATTGAACAAAAATTCAATTTGATACTTTAAAAATTAGTAGATATTGTTCTAAACACAAAAGAGCTCAAAACATCAAAAAAAGGTTTACTGTTATTTAGTTTAGTTCAAAACCTACAAAATCTTCATTGCTTTCACTGAATTTATTTTATTATTTAGGGAGCATTAGAAATAGTTATGTTTTTAAAAGAGAAAAAAAAACTACTATTGTTATAAACAACACATTCAATTGAACTAAACTATACATGGTTTGTTTATATTATATATATATACATATATATTATTCATACCTTCAGTGTATAGGATGCAACCAGATTTTGACATCAAATTTTGGGGTTAAAAAGTGCATCCTATACACCAAAAAATACGGTAAGCCTTAAAAACTCAAAGTTGTGTATTGATAGCTACTATTTATCATAGTTAAACCTTATGAACTGCAACTTCGATATGATCAGTTTATAAAATGCACAAAACGGGTGTATTTTTAGTATTCATGGTGTTATGATGAAGTAAATAATTCAAATGTCACCATTAAATGAGATGTATCTAAAAACACTTAGTCCTCAATAATATTCTGTTACGGTAATTTACTAAAAAAAAATATGAAACTGTGATTATATCACATACATTAAGAATAAGAACTTGCAACAATGTAAGTTTTTTAGATTAATCGTGTGATAAATAAAAAATATGATGCAAATTTTAAATAAAGTATCATGATTCTTTACATTTTTGATTTTCCAGGTAACTCTTTTTGGCAGAAATTGAATTTTAGTACTAAAATAACTTGAGACATTACCTTTTCCTAGAAAACTATAATTTCCATACTTGAAACAGCTCTTCCCATACTTATAGTCATCGCAGTTGAACTTGTAAATTTTAGAAGCTTTATGAAAATCTTTCTTGACAGCTTCCAAAAAATCTCCTAACCTATGGCATCCTACAAAGAAAAAAAAAAAAAAAGAATCGTTCATGTATTATAATTCGACTTAATTTTTCACATGAATTTATGGAATTTGACTAATACAATTTTCCTTATCTGGTATAAATAAGGCAAGGTTTTTTTAAGTTAATAATTAATATTTAAAAAAACATTATTTACGATGTTGCTCTTTTGATATTTAAAAATTT